CTAGAACATGGTCATATAGTCCCAAAAAACCTACAACAACCCTATACTTTGATAGTTGATTTGTAATTTGGTGAGGGTGTTGTTACCCTCTCACAAAAGGCTCAAGGCCTTGCAAAATTCTCAGAATTCTATAGCATTGAGCCATGGCATCTAAAGTGGTGTCAGACTGCATTAATACTCAGTGTAGATCTACTTTGGTTCCAGAAGGAGATGCTGGACAAAGCTTTAGTGGCCTGGGTGAAGCTGCTGTTTTCCTCCTGTTTACTTTGCACAGTAGTCACTATTTTTTTTATCACGCATGTCAACAGATGTGTGCATAAGTCATGGTTGGGGCCCATTTTGTAACCAAAAATACTTACTTAGGCGATCTCTCGTTGGCCAAGTAGGATCGCCTTCCAGGAGAAGTATTCTTGTGGTGGCTGTGGAGCCCTATTCTTGATCTGCATCTTCTCCCGCAGTGAGGGCATTGGTTTCCAGGTGGAAGGCAGTCCCGGTCGTGATTGGCTTGACATGCCTTACTCTTGGCACGTTTCTCTCTTTTGCCCTCCGTTCGTGCCTCTTCAAATTCTGCAGCACTGTAGGAGAGCACTTCCAGAAGAGAGGATTTGTGATGAGAGAAATGTGATTTCCCACTTTTAGCTTCCAGTATTCTTTGAAGAAGTGTTGGTATATTTCACTGAAGAGGAGTGGGATCTCCTAGTTTGTGACCAGGGGGCTCTCCACAAGACAGTCAGGATGGAATATGAAGGGAATGTGGTTTCTGATAGTAAAGAACATTTTACTTTTCTTTTAAAAAAATTTTTTTTTACTGCAAGTTTTTCAGTAAAATAAAAGCGTAAAAAGTGCAATGGGCAAGACTCGAGCATTGAAGGATTTGAGGGAATGGAAGGAAGGAAGAGGGAAGGAATAGGGAGGGAAATGGTTATTTATTTATCATGTCAGGAGCAAACCGAAACAGTCATGTTGCATTTTTAGCAAGCTGGCATTCTCTCCTGATGTTTCGCCAGTATCTATGGCAAGCATCCTCAGAGGTAGTGAGGTCTGTTGAAACTAGGAAAAATGGTTTATATATCTGTGGAATGACCAGGGTGAGACAAAGGACTCTTGTCTGCTGGAGCTGATGCAGAGCATCTTCCCCCCCCCCAAAGTGTTTGTAGTTTGCCAAGGGCCGGACAATGGATTCTGTTGCTTCCTGACCCAGCACACATAACTGGGTTCCTGTTTCCTCTCTGTGAATTCTCTGGCTTGTGCACTGAACCCTGGCCCCTGATCAGGGAAATGTAGTTTCCCAAGGGACACTGCTTCACAGATCGCCTATTGACTTTCTGCTCCACATCCCGGACTGCTTTCAGCCTCTAGCCTACATGCGCCTTCACCAAGGAGACTCTTTAATAAACTTTGCTGGGTTGGGATGGGGAACCCTTTATGAAATATATGGAAAATGCATATGAAATGTATAATATGAAATCTATGAAATGTACCCTGACCCCTTCCCCACCTTTTTTCCCCTCTGAACCTTGCCCAAAAAAGGAATGTGACCTGAGGTTACTGTCAAGAGGAAATCCTATTTCCTCAAAGGTAAATCCATATTTGCATCTGCATGGCCGCAGTTGCTCTTATCTTGAAAGTCCATTTTCAGAGCAGACAATGGACTAATGGATAAGTCAACAGAAACCCCGGAAAAGAGATTGATTAACTCAACTCATGGTATTTGTGTAGCTCCTTTGTGTCAGGGTCTCCCTGTTTACAGAGTTTTGAGATCCAAATACCGCCGATAGCCCCCCTTTTCATGTCTCTACACATCCTCAATCCAAGGACAGGAAAGCCTTTGTTTGTCAAACATTTGGAGACATTTTTCCTTTGTTTCGCTGAGCACATGGCATTCCTTTGTCTGCAGATTCCTTTCCCAGATTCCTTTGTGCTCCCTCATCCCGCCCCCATTTCTCCTGATTGGCTGTCGCCACCATGTGACAGAGGTCTCCCCATTGGATCCTACAGACCACTGGAGCTTCCTGATTGGTACAGAGGCGCCAGGGGCGGGAGGGCTGCCTCCCAGGTGTCCGCCCATCACCCAATCACAGCGGGGAACATCAGAGGAGCCGGGGCGGAAGGGTTGAACTCTGGGTTTTCAAAAATTGTATAAATATGCCTGAAAATCACTGTACTGTATGCTTATGGTGGAACTATCCCTGTAATGCATCTGATCTCAGCTGAATCACAATAAAACGCTTTGGTCACTGGATACCTCTTCAGCCTATGGTGAGATTAATTCTTAATATTCCGCATCCTTGGATTGGCGTTCGCTGGCTGCTCACCAAGGTCAAAGACCCCCTTGGCGGTCTTCTGGGGCCTTCCTCGCTGGGAAAGCCCCCCAAAAAGAGCTCGATATCAGTCCCAGTCGTGATTGGCTTGACATGCCTTACTCTTGGCACGTTTCTCTCTTTTGCCCTCCGTTCGTGCCTCTTCAAATTCTGCAGCACTGTAGGAGAGCACTTCCAGAAGAGAGGATTTGTGATGAGAGAAATGTGATTTCCCACTTTTAGCTTCCAGTATTCTTTGAAGAAGTGTTGGTATATTTCACTGAAGAGGAGTGGGATCTCCTAGTTTGTGACCAGGGGGCTCTCCACAAGACAGTCAGGATGGAATATGAAGGGAATGTGGTTTCTGATAGTAAAGAACATTTTACTTTTCTTTTTAATTTTTTTTTTTACTGCAAGTTTTTCAGTAAAATAAAAGCGTAAAAAGTGCAATGGGCAAGACTCGAGCATTGAAGGATTTGAGGGAATGGAAGGAAGGAAGAGGGAAGGAATAGGGAGGGAAATGGTTATTTATTTATCATGTCAGGAGCAAACCGAAACAGTCATGTTGCATTTTTAGCAAGCACACAAGCAAGCAAGCAAGCAAGCAAGCAAGCAAACCATATCATTGTATTACATTTCTAACAGAACAAAACAAACAGATTAAAAAAAACAGATTTTGCAAACTTGGTAGTGGATCAAATGTCCTTTGACCAGTATCAGTCCACTTGGAGTGTCTCTGGTGTTGCCGCAAGAAGGTCCTCCATTGTGCAGGTGGCCGGGCTCAGGGTGCATTGCAGCAGGTGGTCAGTGGTTTGCTCTTCTCCACACTCACATGTGGCTTCCACTTTGTGGCCCCATTTCTGAAGGTTGGCTCTGCATCTCGTGGTGCCAGAGCGCAGTCTGTTCAGTACCTTCCAAGTCGCCCAGTTTTCTATGTGCCCAGGAGGGAGTCTCTCATTTGGTATCAGCCATTGATTGAGGTTCTGGGTTTGCCACTTTTGGACTCTGCTTGCTGAGGTGTTCCAGCGAGTGTCTCTGTAGATCTTAGAAAACTATTTCTTGATTTAAGTCATTGAAGTGCTGGCTGATACCCAGGGGATGGGCTGGAGATGTCTCTGCCTTGGTCCTTTCACTATTGACTGCTACTTCCTGGCGGATGTCAGGTGGTGCAATACCGGCTAAACAGTGTAATTCCTCCAGTGGTGTAGAACGCGGACACCCCATGATAATGCGGCATGTCTCATTAAGAGCCACATCCACTGTTTTAGCGTGGTGAGATGTGTTCCACACCGGGCATGCATACTCAGCAGCAGAGTATGTCTTGCAATCCTGCGAGGAGGCTTCTCTCTAGTCCCCCAGGGAAATGGTAATAATAATAGAGATGTCAAATGGACAAAGCATAAAGTGCAATCAGCCCGAAGCCTATAAATATCTGGGCATACTACAGTTATACAATATCAAGCATGGGCATGTGAAAAATGTGGTCAGCAAATAATATATCCAAAGACTCAGAAAGGCTTTGAAAGGGAAGGTGTTGGGGTTCAGCCTGTGATTGAAACTGAGCCTGTGCTTGAACCTGTGAATGTGTTTCAATCTCCTGATGTTTCCATGTCTGATGTGGGTAATGAGGAGGGAAATCAGACCCCTGTTGCTTCTGATGTGGTGGATGCTGGGACTGACTCTGAGGCGCAAGATGGAGACACGTTGGTGAGTGAGTTTCATGCAGACACTGACAGAGAGGTTTTGGTGCAAAGGTCAGATTCTTATGAGAATGCTTCTCCAAATTCTAGTTTGGAAAACAGTCTGACACCTGCTGAAGTTAATGAGGAGTCAGATAAGCAGAGTCGGTGGCTGGAGATTAGCCAGAATCGACAATTTTTACAAATAATTTGTCAACTAAAGTCAAAGACTGGTGGTAAAAGAAGCCAGTTTTTGGTATTTAAGGTTTGCCTGTAGAAAATCTTGTCAGATCAGGCATCATTTGGAAACCAAGTGTAAGTCTCATGGAATCCCTGTTCAACTGGTCTTGTCTTCATGGATTTTTTCTAGTTTTTCAAGGTGACTAGCAGCATCTGGTCTATTCTTGCTTCTTGTTTGATTCCTGTCTGAATATCTTTGCCTTGCATTATGCTTTCATGTTTTTTGAATATTGGTTTTGATTGCTTCATTTAGACACTGTTTTATCTGGCTGCTTATTGCTTTTTGGAACCTTATCTATCTTTATAAGCATTTATTTCTACTGGCTTTTTTTTTTTGCTAAGCTTTAATAAAAAGGATTGTTCCTTTTTGTTCTTCTGTATGGTTTCATGTACTTCTTTCCAATAGTTTTTTGCCATTTTGCAGCTCCACCACATGTGGAAGAATGTGCCTATTTCCTTTTCACATTTCCAGCATTTTGTATTCAGATTTTTATTACATTTGGCTAATTTATTTGGGGTGATATACCATTGGTACATAATTTTAAACCAGTTTTCTCTTAAGTCATAAGAGTAAGCAAGTAAGGAAGAATATTTTAATTTTTAACATATAGTTTTTTGAAGAGACAAAAATCCGTGATTAGTATAATTCATGAAGGAAATTGACCAGAAAATAATGGGGACTGATGGGGGAGGGAAAATTATTGGGAAAAGGGAGCAATTGTTCTCCAATGAGAGCCAGAGTGTGTTTACCTCCTAATGAGATCTTTTTTTTCTCAAACAGGTAACGAGAAGGAGGAATTTGTGTAGCCTTCTGTGATGTCATGGAAAGTGATCAAGAGTGAAGTGGTGAAATACATGAAAATCAAAGTGCAGCATGAAAACCAATGAAAGAAAAGGAAGAAGAATGCTTCTCAGTTAGAGAAAGTCTGTGAACTTGAACCTCCCCCAGGAGAACTAGAAAGTGTAAAGAAAGGAAAACTAATTTGTCTGAGGGAGGAAAATCCAGTATAAATTTCACTGAAAAATGAGTTCCATAATCCGCACAGCAGAGAAACCATATGAATGCATAGAAGTTGGAAAGAGTGTAAATCAACATTCACCTCAAAAATCCCAAACAGGGGGGAAATCATATCAGTGCTTAGAATGCGGTAAGAACTTCAGTCAGAGTGGAAGTTTGCACTCTCATCAAAGGACACATACAGGGGAGAAACCCTATCAATGCTCAGAATGTGGTAAGAGTTTCAGTCAGAGTGGAAATTTGCACTCACATCAAAGAACACACACAGGGGAGAAACCATATAAATGCATAGTATGTGCAAAGAGCTTCCGTGATAGCGGAGCATGTTCTAAACATCAAAGGACCCATACAGGGGAGAAGCCATATAAATGCATGGAATGTGGAAAGACCTTCTATGAGAGTTCACAGCTACGTAGTCATCAAAGGTCCCATACAGGGGAGAGACCATATAAATGTGTTGAATGTGGACTGAGCTTCAGTCACAGCGGAAATTTGCGGTCGCATCAAAAAATCCACATAGGGGAGAAATCATACAAATGTATGGAATGTGGAAAGAGTTTCATGCGTAATGACTATTTACTGTCACATCAAAGAATTCACACAGGGCAGAAACCATACAAGTGCACGAAATGTGGAAGAAGCTTTACTCAGAGTGCAAGCCTGAATTCCCATAAAAAAACCCACACAAAAGAGATGCCGTATGAATGTACTGAATGTGGAAAGACCTTCAAGTTCAGGGGAAACCTGCGTTCCCACCAAAAAATTCACACAGGGGAGAAGCCATATAAATGTATGGAATGTGGAAAGAGCTTCTGTCGTAATGACTATTTAAGTTTACATCAAAGAACCCACTCGGGGAAAAAACCCTATAAATGCATGGAGTGTGGAAAGAGTTTCACACAGAATGCACATTTAAAGATACATGAAAAAAGCCACACAGGAGAGAAACCCTATAAATGCTTAGAGTGTGGAAAGAACTTCACCTATAGTCAACAGTTACAGGTGCACAACAGAATGCACATGGGGGAGAAACCGTATAAATGCATTGAATGTGGAAAAAGTTTCATACAGAATGCACATTTAAAGATACATCAAAGAAGACACACAGGAGAGAAACCCTACAAATGCATAGAGTGTGGAAAGAACTACTCCTGTTGTTCAGAGTTACAGGCGCATAACAGAACCCACACAGGGGAGAAACCCTATAAATGCATGGAATGTGGAAAGAATTTCACACAGAATGCACATTTAAGGGTACATCAAAGAAGCCACACAGGAGAGAAACCCTATAAATGCAATGAGTGTG